GGAAACACACAGCCAGGCAGACGAGCTCCGAGCCAGCTCCCATGTCAGAGGATGAAGAGAGCACATCCAGTTAGTCGCAGTCTGTTATGACCAATAGCAGATCAACATCAATATCATGTGATTCTGTGCCCTTTGGACACTATGAAATACCTGTCACTATCCGATCCGATCCGTCCCCGAAGCACGATGCTATGTTATTCAACGCCACAACGCAAAAGGGGCCATCAGGAACTAGCTGTGGGTCTAGATATACGGCCGAGGCGGTGAGGTAGTGGAGGCAAGATTGTGTGACAACGGAGGGACATGAGGGCCAAAAAGAGCTCAGATCCAGGTGGAAAAAGGGTCCCAGCGTTCTCGCGCACCTCGCTCTGCTAGCTGCTCCATCTTCACCAGTTGTTTTCACAATGGTGGTCAGACAAACAAAACAAGCCGGTAAGGAACCAAACAGGAAAGATAGAAGGTAGATTGACCAATCAGAGGCCTCCTGTCTGCGGTCACCTGCAATTTTGGAGATGTGCAGGAGGGGCGGGACATATGTGTTCACTGTGAAACACAAGCAGACGACCTGGTTTCCGAGTATAAATCAGGCTTAAGAAGAATGTAAAACCATTTTTCCAAACACATTCCAGATTATGGTTTTATCAGGAAAGTTTTAGTGTTGATTTTTTTTTTATTGGAGTATCAATATTTTTTGACAACCCTATTTAAAAAAAACAGTTGCTGTCACCGTGCAGATTAGCTGCTAAAACAACCACTAAATCTAATAGCACGCTGCCTCGTATCACCGCTCTCTGATCAGATAATAAATAGTGTGTTGTTTACTGAGCATAAATTAGGCAGAATACCACTTGGAATAGGAATTTGATGAAGTAATAAGACTATATTACAATTATAAGCTCCAAAATCCTGATATGGTATTAAAACTATTGTTGCGCCGATACCAATTTTTTGGCCCCGATACTGGGCTGTGCAGTATCAGCTGGTACCGATACCATCTGTTTGAAATTAATGTGTGTATATATGAAGAACTGCAGACTACTTGGATGTAAAATAATTGCCATCATGGCTTCATGTCAAGCTGCTGCCTTCCTTAGTGAAGCAGGAAAAAGACTAAAACAAAGTGAATCCAGTAGAACTTTTTATTGCCTACCAGAGGTGGGGACTCGAGTTTGTGACTCGTACTCGAGTCGCATATTTAATGACTTCAGACTCAACTTAGACTTGCATTTGAAGGACTTTAGACTCGACCGAGACTCGCGATTTCCGACTTGTGAACAATATTTTATTTTTTAAGTGTTTTTTGTTTTACTAACTTGACTGAATAAAAAAAACGGCAGAGGGGCTGTCAAACAGTCATGTAGCACTGATGCAACGCTACGTGACATATAGGCATGTGTTTTTCACTTACCAGTTAAAGATAATGATCATTCCATAGATATAATAGCGACCTTTAAGTTATACCGTCTCAGTGAAGGAGATGAAAACAAGGAGAAACAAGCAAGCACGCAAATTATTGAACTTATTTTTATTAATCATGTGATTAGAATTTATTATGCGATTAATTTAATATTGCAACAGGCCTACTCTAGACTTGAGACTTGACTTGGACTTGCAAAAAATGACTTGTGAACATGTCTGTTGCCTACTCAGGATGGCCCAGTCAAAATCTGGCAAATGACTTTTTTTTTTGTTGCAATTTTTTGAATCTGAGCTATTTTACCAAAAAAAAAATAAAAATAAAACGGCAAACATTTCTGTCAGATGTGCAAATCTGTTAGAAACATGCTGTTTGATAAAAGCAGGTTTGCTTTTTGAAGCGTTGAATTCATGAAGGTCATTTATCCAGTCACTGAGCTGATCCATGTTTTTGTGCTTTTAGGAGTCAGAGGAGTCCAACCGACAGCGTCTAGAGAATCAGCAAAGGCTTCAGAAAGTGCTGGAAGAACTTGAAGCCTGTCGGCGCCACCGTGATGCTCTGAGCCGAGAGCTGGACGCCGCCAAGCTGCAGATCAGGGAGACGGTGAAGTCAAAGCTTTAATAGTTTGATATGGAGGGAATTTTTATGCATTATTTCTGCTAATTTTGTAAATTAATAAAAGGTTTTGAGAATAACTTTTTTTTAAGCTTTATTTTTGCAAATTGTTTTGGATATTTTTTTCAAATTGCGTTTTTTTTTTTATTTGAACAAATAAACAAATATAAAATCTGCAAACATTTTTTGAAAAAAATTAAAGGAAATCATAAAAAATGGCAATATTGCTATAGGAATCTTGATTTTTCTTGATTTAAAAGAACTTTTCTTGAGTGAAAAGTTCTTTTAAAGTTTAAAGTTCATTTCTCGATAGCCCTTTTTTTTTTTTTTTTTTTTTCCATTTACCAGACGTGTGTCTTTGCAGAAATAACGGAACAACATTCACTCCATAGCTGCAGCCGTGTGATGCATGTGATCTAACCGCACGTTTGTGCAGGAGGCCCGGCTGTGTGGCGTAGAGGAGGAGCTCACGCTGAAGGAGGCCCGCTGGCTGCAGGAGGAGGCCCGTCTGCAGAGCACGGTCAGCGCTTTGGAGGAGGAGCTGGAGCTGGAAAAGGAGCAGCACAGCAAAGAGGTAC